ATTTCAGGTAAAATATTCCTGTAAATACAATTAAAATCATCTAAAAATGTGTAAACAGTTTCTGTACTTATTTACGAAGTTTTTTACTCCGTTCGCCGAAAGATAAGAAGAGGGAAGAAATAACAAAGTACAGCAAGCCAACAAATTAGCAAATGTTTCGAAAACATCAATGAACTTTTCAGTTATCATTTGCTGCCATTACTTATTAATCACCAGGAAAATCAAAATTTCAAAATTACTGCAGAATATCGTGAAGTATTTCACAAACATGGTTTAAGAGTGAAATGTCTAACTAAAATAACATCCGCATACCAGATGCATTAGTTCCTGTATAGCTGCTTTCACTGTTTTTCTCCTTCGTCAGCGGTGAAGCCATACGTAAAAAGCGAAGCTATTAATAGATGCCATTCCGGAAATTGTACTTACCAAGCCGAAATTGGAAAATAACTGCGTTTTTCTTTGCAACGGGACAAATTGCCACTTAACTCGAGTTTCGTTGACCTTCTCTTAACAACTGTCATTGCTAGGATTCAGGCATGCGAAGATTCATTGATGTTTCAAAAGGACGCATGCTTTTCATGACCATACACTTTGCGCAAAAAAAAAAAAAAAAGGGGGGGTTAGTCCTATGTCTCTCGTTATACCGGGATGATTGACGAAATTTAACTTGCGTTTTTCGTGTCTTAAATGCGCGAATTACGATATGTATTGGATTTATATATAGCATAATTCTGACACAGAATCGGACTTTTTCTTGAAATGACTTACCGCGTTTTTTCCATATTTCGATTCTACGACTCAAATTATGCCAAAGTGTCCAGTTTCATAAAAATTGCACGAGTAGTTTTTAAAAAATTAGCTCCTTAACATTAATTGAATTTGGTATAATTTACTAGAAAGTCCGGCCGTCATACGAAATGACCGCTGTTCTAGATATTATAAATTGTAATTAAAATGATTTGTGCAAAGGTGTCTGCTAATTTAAACTGAATTACTCAGGGCAGGCGGCGATGATGCCTCTTTGCTTACTGCCCCACGGGGTTTCCCCCTTCTACTTTCTTAATTGCTTAAAGTAGAGTGCAATGAAGGAAACCACTGGTGGTACATTTCTTAAGAGCTACCGCTAGCTCAATCAATAAAGGCGATTTAAATAATAAAATGTTAATTCACATGTCAAAGATCTCTTTGTACACAACATTTCTTGTGTAGATCTTTCCATCATTTTTAAGCTCGCCTTGCAGAGGACCGTCCATTATTTTTAATTTTACATCGGTTCTTTCACGAACTCTTAAACAGGCAACATAAAGTTGACCGTGTCCAAATGCAGGCTCAGGTAAAAAAATGCCAACATGCTTAAGCGTGTGGCCCGACTATTGGACGTCATAGCAAAGGCAAGTTTTACAGGAAATTGTCTGCGTCTCAATTGAAACGGCAACCGTGTGTTGTGGCAACTTCACCCCATTGGCTAGTACGCAAGCAACCAATTAACTATCGGCGACAAACAGACACTGAAGCCGCATATATATATATATATGGGGAGAAGTAACATCATCTCTTCCGAAACGGCTGGCTTCCGGGCTTAGCGAAGCACACCGTTGTATTCTGCAGGTCCGTGGTACGCTATTTTGACCATTCGTGTCTTCGTGGGACTTTAATTAGCCGATATATTAATTAAAAACTAATTTTCCCCTAAGTTTTCCACTTTCTTTGTTGGGTTTTCCCTACGTGCCAAATTCTTTTTTCTCGAATATCTACGGAACGGCGCCGAGTTGAAATTCGAGACGCGTATCCTCGGATTCCAAAAAAATTCTCCGAACCCATCGGTACCGTTCTCATCTTCGTACGACTTTAATAGGCCGAGATATAAATTAAAAACTGCGGAAACATTAGTTTCCGCGCTCATTTTTCCGAGTGGCAACAATAAACTATCGGCGACACACACTTTACCTGCTTATATATATAAAGATTAATCTTTCTTCTTATTAAATTTTTTTCAGAAAAGAAATATACCATTTCATACTTTCCAGTTACTCAGCGAAAAACCTATTAAGGTTGTTCTTAAGGGCCTCTCATCGACGATGAAGGAAGAAATAATACAGGCAGACTCTGGAGAGAAAGGAAATTCCCGATAAGCAAAGTTAAGCAGTTTACCAGACGTAGAGGAGGATGCTTATCGAGAAACTTTCCGATATTTCCTACTTGGAGTTGAAGAAAACGAAGGAAGGACATGCTAATCCATGGACTTAATAACATACTAAGTGTTAATGTCAAGATTGAGAAAGTTTGCTTCCCGAAAAAACGAGTGATCCAGTGTTACAGATGTCAAGAGTAGGGACATTCGCAGCATCTCTGTTTAAATCCTGAGCGAATGCTGCAAGTGTGGACAGCAACATGGGAAGTAAGGAAGGCCCATTAAAGCCTGATGAAAAATCCAAATGCATCTTTCTGCTCACTGCCGCATGTAAGTTCCTATAGGGGTTGCCCCGTGTACAAGAAACGCTTTGAAGCAAAAAAGCAGCAGCGAAGCCAGCAGCTAAGATCCCTACGGCCGGCAGATTTTCGCGAAATTCATCGAAACAAGGAAAACAGCAGTAAAACCCAGATGAAACCTCTCTATAGTGATAGAGTAAAGAAAAAATTGGAAAACCCACCCACAGAGTACAAGGATATCATAAACTGGATCCAAGATCCTAAAGTCAAAAAATTTCTGAACAGTGTGGTTGAGCACGTTGAGAAGATCCGCGCTGCAAAAACCACGGCTGAGAAAGTTTACTGCCGGGTTCAAAGCAGCCATGACACTGATGAGATTTGCTGAAAGTGAAGAATAATCACCAGCTTAGAAGCATTTGAGGGAATTTCACTATGTTTATGATTTCTTTTCACTTTTCAAAAACACAGGTTCCCCTGTTTACAGCAGCAGAGCTCGGGGTCAGTACTTGGGTGGGTGACCACCCACGTGACTGGCCTCGACGTATCATCTTTCTTCAACTAGTGAAGACACATCACAGCTTATACGGCGGCCAGATGCTTGAACCCTCCTTCTCCAAAGTCTACTTGACCAACTCACGTGCATTAGCACATGTTCCTGCTTCACCTTTGTCAGTGCGGTGTAAATCACCTTAATTTTTAATTCTTCCCAACGCCTTAGGGCATATCTCCAACAGAGACGGTTAAAGTAGCAGAGGCTACTAAATGCCGCCTAACCATTCACTCGACTTGGATTTCTTATTAAATTTAGTTGATTTTTTGTTTCACATTTCAAAATTTGGGTTCAATTCCAATAAAATTTGTAGATATTTTCTTATTTTTAAATTTGTATTTTTTAGTAATTTTTATGATTTTTTTAAAAGCAATTTTTAATCACAACGCATAAGATTTTTACCATCACTCTAAAGTAGATGTACTTTCATGTAAAACGTTCGAGTTTTTTATTCAACATTTCCCAAGATATACATGAATTTACAAATTGGCGCGTTTTGAAATTTGGTATAGTTGTTTTGGGAGGTAATAACGCCAAACGTGGTTTACGCACTTCCTTAAAATTATTTGAAAGTACGAAAGATACACTTTTTTCCCCATTCGTTCAATGAATGGGAGAGGGAAAAAATAGGTTACTACAAATTAAGAATTTCGCCAACTGAATTAACCTTTGCGCAAATTGACAAAGTGCACCAATATAAATTTGTAAATTTCTCACCAAATTTTACAAAATTTAATATTTGGGCATGATTTTAATCGTAAAATCGAAGTATGGAAAAATCGGTATATATATCAGAAAAAGTTCGGTTTTGCGTCAAAATACCTATATTAAAACAATGCCATATCTTGAGTTGAGCTGTAGAGTTGTCTTGAGTTGAGCTGTAGAGATATGAAAAAGGACAAATTAAATTTCGTCAATCGTTGCAGCAGAAAGGGAGATATAGAACTTTTTTTATGTGCGCAGAATGTAAAGTAAAAAGCTATAAATCATCAAGATCGTTATACTGAAGATAGTGTTAAAAAGTTAAATGTGTTCTATGTTTCTGAAAAGAATTTTACATCATTGATTACTCTTTAATCCAGCGGGAAGGCCTAAATGTTGACGGACGAGAATTTCTTTTCACAAAATAAAAAATATTTTAAATAAATAAAACATTTCTAAATATTTATCATAACGTACATAAACGATAAAAATAATATCCCGAAGTAAAAATTCAAATTCATATTTATTTTCTATTTGAAATCGAATGTTTATTACGAGGCGTATTCGGAAACTAAGTACCGTTTTGGAAAAAAAAAATAAATAAATAAAACAATTTTTTCGAATCCAATTTTATTTTTACATGAAAATACATGTCTTAAACTATTTTTCAACATAGTTTCCGCCAATGATCAAGCACTTGTCAAGCGGGTGACCAGTTTTGTATACCATCGTCAAAGAAACTTCCGCCCCAGTTTCGATAACCACGACTCCACAGCATTTTTCGTGTCATCGTCAGATCCAAAGCGCTTGCCACTTACGATAATTCAAGCGGTCAGTGTCAGTCGACGATAAGTTTCGGCTGGTTTAACATTCCTCGCGTTCAACAATTTAATCACGGCACGAATCTCACAGTCAGCGGAAGAACTAATTGTCTTAAACATTTTGAATGTGCACAGCAAACTGAAAACACAACATAGAGCAACCAAAATGGCGACAATTGAAAGTCAGTGAACAAGAAAGACTAGTGCGCATGCGCGGGACGCCTACCACAGCGCTGCGACGGCGCTAGAATGAAACGGTACTTAGTTTCCGAATACGCTACGTACCTTTAGGACTTAAGTTGGAACCTTTAGGACTGTGTTGGTTACGCTTTTTAATTCAAATATGCCAAAAACTTAATATTAATTTTCACGTTTAAATAATTATAACATGTTTGATTAATCCATGAAAGACTTGCTTTAAACAAAAATAAACAAATTATGAAAACTTTATAAATGGAACAGAACTTGAGAATAAACAATGACAACCCAGTCTCTTTTTTATTAAAATTTTTTTCGGCACATAAATAAAAATACAAATGTTTGTATTATAAACTTTTTAGTTCTTACTACAGATTGATCCCTTCAGGTTTCTTCGCTGTCAGGACCTACACGGGACTATATGACGAAATGGCGAGAGCAGGATAATGTTTCTCTGTTGATGTCCAGCATAGTCACAAAGTTCCAACAGATTGACACTTGACGACGTTTCGATTTTGATAAAGTCTGCAGCCTTGGAGAGTAGTTACTGGAAATTATCTTCATCACTCACTGTAGATGCTCATGATGAATGGGATTATTTCTTGCGAAGTTTCAACTATAAAAAATCTGATGTGTACACCACATGACTTCCTTGTACGGAATATTAAATTACACACATTTTTTCTTGCATTTCATTTAACTTAATGGATTGAATTAAACCTACTTCGCCGACAGCGCATAAACCACAATAGAATAAATGCATTCTTTAAAATTCACTCTAGTATTTGTTTACCATAGCGACACTCTGACGCTAGGTTTACTTAACAGTATTATATTTCATACATATTATAACTCAGAATGCACAAAATGTATATCATTTAAAGAATTATCTAATCATTGTCACATGTTCTATTCAAATACTATAACAAAGCTAGAACGATGTATAAAAGAAATTAAGCAAACAAAATGAAAAAGAAACAGTTTTTCACCGACGATTGAGTATTTCTCATTCAATTAATTCAGTTTTCACTTCGCGATAAGGCAAAAATACATAAAAACTCAAACTATCTGTATTAAAAATTACGAAGTAAATCTTAAACGCTTATTTCCTCGAAAAAATTCCAGAGAGGATTAAGCATGATTTAATTCGCAATAATAAATGAAGGCGTTATTTTTGTGTTGCGAAGCTTAGTCTCTCTAGATTGGCAACAAATCTACAATTCTGCTGTTTCAAATGTAAACAAATATGTCCGCCATGTTATTTCAAACTTAACAGCTTTTAAATTGTTGATAATTGTACAAATATTCTTTCCAGAATTACGAAAGGCATAAAAACTTTACCCGGAAGATAAAAACAACATAATTCAATCATTTTTAAAGCAAAAAATGTACAAACATATAAGAGTAAAGAAACTGAGATCACTGAGCCGGGTAACAGAGTGGATATATTTATAAAATATATTTATATACGTTTGGCGCGGGCGATTGAAACCAAAATACGAGGTGCACATCCACATGTTATAGTAGTCATATACAAAATTTCAACGTTCTGAGGCTACTCGTTTTTGAGTTATGCGAGATACGTACGGTAGCACGTACGTACGTACATACGTTCGTACAGACGCCACGAAAAATGCTCTTCAGAATACATTTTAAAGCAGTTTTTTTTTTTTTTTTTTTTTTTGAGGCAAAGAGTCTTTTATTCTGTTTTTACGTATAGATATTACGCAAAAACATCGTTAAATTGCATTCGAAAGCGGTCAAAGTGGATATTTTCGTTCAAATATGCTGCCTGAAGCCTTTCGCGATTACAATACTTCCTTTTTACTTCGTACAAGGAAGTAAAAAACACCTGTCACATGTAAATGTATTCCTATACAAACCATTATTCTTAGTGCAAAATTTTCCAACTGAGTACATTTATTTTTCTACATGTGTGAATAAAATTTAATAAAATATACATTTTCAAATCTTTTAACAATATTTATATCATTTTGTAAATTAATTAGCTGCATTTATAGATTTTCTGATGTATTATGCATATTTGCTTTTAATGGTAATGAAAATAATGTAAACTCGAACATCAAATAACTAAAATCTTGATAATCTTTGCAACAATTACATAGTTGAAATAAATTTGTGAGCGGTCAAAGTTGGTTCGGGGGACATACGTTTGAGACTAATTTAAACTTTTATTCTCCATATTATTTTTTCTCTTTCCTTTTCTTAATACTGATATTTAATACTCAAAAGCTGAAATATGCAGATCTGCAATAAACGAAGTTAAACTTAGTCTGAAAATGTTTTGAAGCTCTGTGTTAAGTTTTGCTCAAACATAGAGGGATTTTTAAACTGCGTTTCAAGTAACACATGAAAACAATACTTAAAACTTTATGATGCATTCAGGTTTAAGCAAGACGCAAATACTTTCCGAAATGAGTTTGATTTCCAGAATACTTCTTAAGGAAGAATGGAAAGAAATGTTGTATGGCTTCAAAATTTAGTTACTCAGTAGTAAACACAGAGAAACAAATTCTTTTTGTATCTAGAAGTAGATTAAAATTGTGATAATTAATATAGTTTGTTTCCAGAAATAGTATATGAATGATGAATGATATATCTTTCGATTAACGTTCAAAAAAACACTGCATTTGGAACTTATGAACGATTATTTTTAATAATAAAAAATCTGATGTGGACACTACATCACTCACTTCCTTGCACGGCCTATTAAATTTCACACCTCTTTTGCTGAACTTTATTTAAACTTATTTCTTCGAATTTAATTTGATATACATTTCTCATTCAAACAATTTAGTTCGCACGTCCCAGCAAGTCAAAAAAAATTAAATAAATAAATAAAAACTCAAAACATTTTCATTAAAATTCGTCATCAAATACAGAAAAACATAAAACATCAGATACAGTTAAAAAAAAACTATGTTTGCAATTAAAACTAGAATTTCTACGGAAAAACAAGCAATTCGGCCAGCGGGTAGGAAAACCAATTTTTCGGTGCACAAAACTGAAAATATTTTTGGTACTACTTGGTTAAAATGTCACTGAAGTTGATGCACAAACTGACTTAATTCACTGTTCTACTAAAAGTATCAAATGTAAAGAAATGGCGGCTTTGTTAGCCACTTCACACTTAAACAACTTTTAAATTGTTGATAATTTTACAACTATTGCATGCAGATTAACTAAAGGCATATAAACCATCACCGGAACATATGAACATCATATTGTATTATATTTAAAGAAATTAATTAACGAAGCATCTGCATAAATGTATGTATGTTTCTCTCATTGTGAAAAGGCCCACCAGCGGCCGAGCGGTAAAGTCGCTGAAAACTGGTAGTTCGGTACGAGTTTCGAATCCCGCGAACGGGCTGGCTGCATGGGCGTTTTCGTGGTTTTCCCCATGTGTAACGTGTATACGAGCCAGTTTCCCTTAGAAAGTCCTCCACGAAGGCATCCCTTCCCTTAGGCAGATAGCCCTCGAGGCTTTGCCATAATCACACACACACACACACACACACACACACTCATTGTGAAAAAACGACGGTTCCTACAGCCATCACGTTTTGATGGGAACCTGTGTGATGCTTCTTTGGCGATATGAAGCAACTCCAATGATGGAACACAGCAATAACTTTTATTTAACACTCAAAAAGGCGACATACAAACAAGAAAAGAAAACATATTCTCACATTTAAAAATAAATTACATTCTTCGTGCCAGAGTCGCACGAGGCACTCGAGTCTGGTTTCAAATATTGCCATTCACAAATACCTTAATGTTCATCTATTTAAATTATTTAAACTACAAGATTTTAATATTATTTAAAGCTGTTACAACCTCTCCCCCAACGGAGAGACTTTTACCGAAGGGAAAAGTTCTGTAAATTTCGAAAGTTTTATAAGCTCGGCTTGTTCATTGCTTTAAAGAGAAAAGATAACTTCTCTCATAAGTTTCCAAATTTTCAGGCCGAAAATTTTAAATTTTAAACAAATATTTTTACACCACATTTAAATAGGAAGAAAATGGACAGTATTCAAATTAGTCTTCTTTTTTTTTTCTTGACGGCGCCTAGATCTCTTCCCTGGTGGACCAGTTCCTCGGCTATAATTCACAGCAAAGCCTTTCCTAAGTTCATCTGTGCCTTTCGGATAATATTCATTTGTCATTTGCTTTCGACAATTCTTTTCTTCGTCTATTAGTAGGCGGCTTTGATATTAAATCAAAAGCCGAAAGATGATGATAACGCTGCATTGCAAAATGATTCTCAATATTAATTTCTTATCGTTTCAAATTTTCGTGAACATCTTCCACGTTTAATTCTGGTGATTTAACTTCTTGAAAGGCATCTCTGGATTGCTCCATTTTCTTCCTTCATCTGTTCCTTCATCTTCTCTTCAATCGCTTTTAGATATTTCTGTTTCCCTTTGAGCTCTAGCAGAGACGGCATTAACCTGGTATCACTAATTTTACGTTCAAGTGAATGAACTGAATAAAACAAGGCAAATTCAGTGTTAAGAGGAAGTAATTACCTTGATATCACTAATATTATGTTCAGTGATGAACTAATAAAATAAGACAATTCAATATCAACAGGAAGTTACGTTCAGTGATGAACTAATACAATAACGCAATTCAATATCAACAGGAAGTAATAACCTGGTATCACTAATATTACGTTCAGTGATGAACTAATAAAATAAAGCAATTCAATAATAACAGAAAGTAATAATCTGGTATCACTAATATTGCGTTCAGTGATGAACTAATAAAATAAAAATAAGCACGATTATTCGATCTTGGTCGGTGCCCCCAAAATAATTAAGACTGTGATGCTTCTTTGGCGATATGAAGCAACTCCAATGATGGAACACAGCAATAACTTTTATTTAACACTCAAAAAGGCGACATACAAACAAGAAAAGAAAACATATTCTCACATTTAAAAATAAATTACATTCTTCGTGCCAGAGTCGCACGAGGCACTCGAGTCTGATTTCAAATATTGCCATTCACAAATACCTTAATGTTCATCTATTTAAATTATTTAAACTACAAGATTTTAATATTATTTAAAGCTGTTACACCTGGAAACCCGAATTTTGAAATTCGAATTATTTTTATTATCTATTTCATATTTTGTAAAACTTAAACGAATTTTTTATTAACAAACTCAACTATTTCAAAGATAACAATGGCAACACTGTACGGGGGAAAAATTATTTCCAGCACAGGAGAATTCTAAAGATATGCTGTTTTAAGTGTTTTGTAATATTGGTGTTGAATTGAATATTGTGTGGTTTAAATGCGAATATATGATATTTAATAAATAAAGCTAGCACATGAAACTTTAAAAAAACGCCCCTTTGGGTGTAATATACAATCTGAAAGCTTTCAGATTTTTTTTCATATTAAAATGCTTGCATTAAAATTACTGTTCAGTATCATAATAGTACTTAGCCAAATTATGAAACAGCTAATACAATCATTGAAATGAGTTTTAACAGTAAAACTCATAGTATTTTCGTTTTGAGTTATAATATTTCGAATTTTATTTTATAACTTTATTGGTGTCTTTAGTTGCAGCATGATTTTTAACGTCTTTTAGTAACAGATAAAATATAATAACAAATGGTATTAATAAATACTGTAAAGAAACACATATATTAAGAAGAAATAAAAGAGATTTCGAAATTCACTGAAAATAAAACATAAATATTTCCCCAGAATTCTTTCGCTGAAAAACATGAAATGCAAAATATTTCTTAAATATGCGTATTTTACTTTCCCTGCACAAGTAATTATCTTTTCATATTGATGAAGGAGTCAATTATTAAACTTTAACAAAGACGTAAATAATGGGGGGAAATAATAAAATTATAACTTTAAAAATATTTCCTTCATTGTAATCCTATAAATTTTGAACTTTAAAAAAAGGCATTTAAGAAATTTATTTTTATACATAAATAATAAAGACATAAAAATAAATACGATAAAAATGTATTAGCACGGTATATTGTGACATAAGGTTAAATTACACTGTGAATTTGAGTACTCACTTGAATAAACATCATAAAGCAGAATATCCCTGGTATTATAAGTTTCATGATACTTTCTTCTTTCATAAAAGCAGAAATATTTTGTCTCAAATTTGTGAAATAAAAAGCAAAACAAAACACTAGTTCATCACCTGAAACAAAAATTTAAAAAGGCTTTATAATACACTTTAAAAAGATCAGTTAATCGCAACTTTAATCCTAACAGATGATGTTTAGTAGAAAATTTAAAGATTCCAATTTAAGGATTTCTATAGATTTTATTTTCAATCGATATAAATTCTCCAAAGCACCATTAGAAAAAAACCTACCCATCAATTAATAACTAGTTATAAATCAAGATTTAATTTCTAAAACGGACTGTCAGGAAAGGTAAATAAAATTAATGAATAAATTAATAAATAAAAGATTAATAAGTAATGATAAAATAGCTAATTAATAGCTAAGAATTCCGCAGCAGACGATATTTACATTCAATTAAATAATTAGATGTGACAGATAAAACTCCACTATGATTGATAACTTAAAACTTTTGATTAGAACGTGAAATCAATATTTTTTTTCATAACAGATTTTATTCGGTAGAAATTGTTTATATCAAAATAAACAAAAAAACGTATATAATGGCGTATGTGTGCTCGTATTCTGCGTAGATGTTTCAGGATACGCACTCATATTTTGGGTAAATGCAGTAATATATTAAAATAACATGAAATTTATACTATTGCTCATAGTATAAATATCAAATAATTTACAACCTTCTTTCGAAGAAAAGTAAGTTTTTAGGGTAGAACAATTTGTTCTTTTCATCAATAATGAATACTTCTCAGGTATCTAAAATTGAAATTAGTTTTTAATGTACAGAATTTTATGATTTTAAGATTTTCCTGAGCTTTGCCCCGAGTAGAACAAAAAAGAATTCAATTAAAAGCTAGGAAATAAAAGTATAGACCTTAGAAGAGCTAAGAGAATCAAAGAATGAAATTAATACATGAAAAGATTAACATTTCATACATTTCCTAAGCATTCTATAGAATACCAAATGACAAAGCGGCAAAATATGAAATATATCTCCGATTCGTTTCGAATATACATACATTTAATGCATTCACACATAACCCATATATTTAATACATTCATTCCGTAATTTCCCACATTCTTATACATTGTTTTCTTTCCCAAGAAAGATATAATTTTTTTTTGTACAACTTTAATTTTTCTTTACGTATTTTGAATAAAATTTTTCAATGACATTCTTTCATTATTTTTTTTAAATAACAGTATATTTTTAGGAATACGTATCTTTTAAATAATTGACTCATCATGACCTTTTTTAATACTTTGTCTAAATAGCATTTGTCATTCTACAGAATGCCTATATATTATATACAACACATAGGGAAACTATATAATAATTCTCGCATTTCATACTTTGCCTAAAAACGCTAGGCATTCTATAAAATGCCTAGGTATTCCACAGAATTCCGGCACTTCATATATTGCTGGTAACATGAATAAAACTAGAAATAATACTATGATAAAGGATAATAAAATATAATACCATGAGGACTATAATATTAATAATGATAATAAAATAATACGTAAAATAATAATAAAAAGAGGGAGATATGATACAATAATACATAAAAACATAAGCAATAATATATAATGATAATAATAAAAGCTTAAACAACAAATAAAGTTGCGCAAGATAGTACTGATGGTTTGATGAATTGTTTCGCCATCAAAAATTTTGAAAACAAGTTTCTCACAGTTGTGAAGCTTGAACGTTCGAATGTTTATTTATTTTAAAAATTTATTTAATTATTAAGTAATCTTACATTTTGAAAATGCCTGTTATTAATAGCGAGATAATTTTCATTAATAATTATTAGTAACTTTTCTGTATCATATATACGTTGGTCATTTTTGCGAATGTATATAATTATATTTTTTAGTTTTTATTTTTATTTATTTATTTATTTATTTATTTCAGTGCATACACAATCCCTGAATTATATCTGTCTCTACCTCAGAATTTTTTTTCGCCAAGAAAAAAAACTGAATATAATGCTTGAATTCTAGAGTAACTTTAAAAGTATAGAAATAATTAATCTTTACAAAAATTAGAAAATTTACATACATACCTTGACAAAAGCTAGAATTGTAAAATATACATCATTAAATAGATTTTAGTTATTAATACTAAAATTAAGCATTATGATGAATTATGTTCATCGAAATTGCTAGTTTTCGAAGCTTTTTGAATAGAAGTGGCAATTTTAGAAAGTTTAGAATAGTTTTACGAACTCCGAGATCCTGGCAACCCTTTTGGGTCAGTGGCCTTTTCGACGGCGCCAAACGTCTGCCGATTGGCACCCCGGCTAGACCAAACTTTCTAGACGCCCCCTCCGCCCACACCCTTTCCCCATAACTCTCCGGTAGCTCCATCCCAGCCGGCCTGTGGTGATAGAATGTATCATTTGTGTCGATCCAGACGTCGAATTTCCGGATCGTCCACAGCGTAGATGCGGGCCGCACTTCTTCCGGGTCGCCAGATGGAAAACGAAAAAGATTACATTTTATCGGAAGAGATATTACTTTACTGGACTTCTTTCTTTAATGTTTACAAGAATTATCCTCATTTCTTCTCTTATCATTTATAGTTCAATACTTCTCACTAGGAGAGTTTTTTAACGCATTTTCTGTATCTCATATTATGCAAGTTATTTATACTGACGTAGACGCCGCTGAATGTGATCGCAGTTAATATTATCATTCGGATACTGCTATGTTATCGAATTGCCCGTTTGTATGCGAAAACATGGAAAATAATCGCTTATTGTGATCAACATTTCAGTTAAGGTTATCAAAATGTTAGAGAATGAATTTTTAAAACCGATGTAAATTCTCCCCCCTCCTTCCAAAAGAAATAAAAAAATCTGAAAGCTTTCAGATTTTATTATTACGCCAAAGGGGCGTTTTTTAACGTTTTGTGTGTTATCTTTATTTGTTAAATTTCATGCTCTTCGCACTTGAACCATAAAATTCAACATAAGAGCAATATTGCAAAATATTTAAAAGAGCGTATCTTTAGAATTTCCGATACACAGTCTCGCGAGCTGGAGATAAAAGTATTTTTTTTTTTTTTTTTTTTTTATATAACGTTGCCATTCTCGCTTTTAAAGCATTGAGTTTAAAAATCAAAATCGTTAAAGTTTTACAAAGAAAATCTATAATAAAACAAATTCCAATTGGATTTCAGATGCCATATTCGTAGTAGGATTTCGACATTCAAATCGATGGCTCTATGTACCTTGTTTTGTGGAAATAGACAACATTTATGCAGATTTTTCATTATTTTTCAAATATAATGCAGGACTCTAAATTTTGTGGCAACAGTTTGAAAAGTGAACCGAGTTTAGAGTCCGACGCAAAATCGCAAAGCGAAAACAATAGTCCTTCAGGGACAAAGCCCCTTTGGACTAATAAAAATTAAAATAGAAAGAAAGGTTTCAGGTTTTAAATTACGTCCAAAGGGGCGTTTCTTAACATTTTGTGGGTTACCTTTGTTTATCAAATATCATTTCTTCGCACTTAAACCGTAAAATTGAGTTCCGTAAAATTGAGATAAAAATGTCCCCCGTACAGTGTTGCCATTGGTTGCTCTGAAATCGTTAAGTTTTTTTAATCAAAATCCCATAAATGCTTTACAAAATATGAGATAGATAGTACAACAAATTCCAAATTTGGGCTTCCGGTGGAGACGTGCCTAATTCTAAACTGGATGACTCTAGGTACCGTTGTTTTTTCACAGTGCGAGAAACATACATATATTTACGCAGATTCTTCATTATTTAATTTCTTTAAATATAATACAGGGCGATAATATTTGGTGGCAACAATTGCAAAAGCGATTCGCCGTTTGTAGTGAATTGACGCAAAATGCCAAAACGAAATTAATAGCCCTTCTCATCTAACTCTCCTTTGGGCTAATAAGATAATAAATTTTAAAATTTACTAAACAAATCCAAACACATCATATAATAAACATTTTGAAGAACGTGAACATGAAATCGGTGATTTCCGTATAAATACTGATATCAGAAATGCTCAGCGAGTAGGAAGATTTAGGGTACAGCACCGGTCAGACTCTTCCCAGAAACGTTATGAACAGTTTATACGAAAACTTATGCATTTTCCTAACTAAATGCTGTGAAACTTATCAATTCAATATTTCTTAATATTTTTAAATTAAATTAGTAAAATTCCATAGCTGTATTGAAGAGCATTTTCTTCTTATCTTGTAATGTGTCAGGCATTAGAATTTTTAATTAATTTACTCCGAAAAAACATTAATAAATGCTTTGATTGATTTAATTTTTTTTCTAAAATACACAAAAGAAATTTCTTTCACTTTTATATGCAGATGGTTTTAATTAAAGTTTAGTTTTCATAATAAAAATGAGATAAAAATTAGTTGTATTTACGTTATTCCATTCACAAATCGGAAGCACTTCCGGAGAGAACCCGGTGAATGTAAACATTGCCAAATTTGGCGATAATAGTTAAAATCTGGTAACCCAGCGGATTCAACCTATTCGCTTGTTGACCATTCATCTTGCGTCCATTTTGTTTCGTTATCACTGTGGTTCTTCGCATTTGCAGATTCTATTATTCTTCTTTTATTATTACTTTTTTTCTTAATTTTTAACAACGAATAGATAGAAATATTTTCGTGGATCCCGGTTCTCGGTTCGGATGAAAGGAAGAAATAAAGCGGGAGGGGTGAATGCTAATTTGTAACACGGCTGTTCACGTGTGTTCTTAATTATTAACAGCTGTACGCACGCAAAACCATGAGGTTCGAAACGCAATATTCGTTTCGTACTCCGCAAAAATGTGCGTTTTAAATAATTAAGTAATGCTTTTATTTTTATTATTGTTTATTCTCACCTAAAAAAATGATAATAAATCAATTTTTATGGCGTAAAAATTGTAACAATATATTGTTAATGCTTTTCTACAATAACCTTTCAGAGGATGGCAGGTGTGACATAATAGATATTAAATTTTAATAATAATACTATTTATTACTGATTATCTGTGACAGAATAGTTTGATGTATTCCCATGGTCATCAAATAGCAAACACTGCTGGTGTAAGGAATATAGTTCAAATGACTCTTGAAAAGTAATGAAATGTGTAATGTTCAAGTTTTATTAACAATGCTACTGACTGAAGAACATTTGATTACTGTTGAAGGTTATTAGTATTGTGAAATAAATTATGAAAAAGGATGGGTATTTGTTTCAATGTAAATTGCTTTAACCTGCATGCAAGTAACATAAAAAAAAAAAAAAATACTGAAAACTGTTAATCAGAGTTCATACACATTTCTGCACACAGAAATTAAGGACCATTAATGGAAAAAATTCAGGACCTATGAGTAAACGCGAACTGAATTTCAATTAAAAATATTAGCGATGCCTGCATTCACATTTGTAATACCATCCTAAAATAAAAATAGATCCATAATAGTATGTATTATTACTAAACATGAATTAACATAATATTAATAAGTTTGAAAATGAAATAAACTTTAAGTAATTGATCAAGTAGCATTAAATATTTTACACTTATAATAGTTGGGCATATTTGAAAGAAGTGACATTTACATTTTACTAACTTTATGTACTTTTTTTTTGTCTCTATGTCACATACTTGGTGAGGCTAGCGGTTTAGTAAGTACAGGTTGATTTTATGTCAAATGGCATAGGTTAAAATGAGAAGTATCATAATCAGCAAAATTCATAACAAAGTTATAATTATTTCTGTTTAAATTTAATACCAATTTATTTCCGTATATCACATTTAACCTGTTAGTTTTACATCTACATGCTTATTATCTGTGAATTTTTACTACCATATGCTTAATATATTGTTTAGTCTGCTAACTAGAATTTACATGCACTAAAAATCACGTTTACAAAGTATCACGTTTACGGCTCGCCTCAAGCGTCGATGAAACGCGAGCTTGGCGAGTAAAAATGGAACGGCGCCAACGGGTTCGCTCCCGAACGGGTTCTCTGCGGATGAAAACCCCACAAATCTAATACTCATATTGTTTCCAAACGATAGCGAGATTCATTAACGAAAAAATCGCAGATTTTCTAAAAGAACAAGTAATAACGAAACATAAAATCAATAAGTTACTTCAGAATACATTCCAGAATTGCAAACTAACAAGGCGGTGATTATTGTATGTATGTTTTCTCTTTCTCTCTTGAGTAATAAAGTTAAGTTATAACTCGAGATCAATAAGAATATCTGCTAAATCATAAGACACTAATAATAATGAATGCTGAAATAAGATATTTATACAGGGATATATACAGAAGACCTTGGAATTACAAGCGAAAAATTTTTATCATTGCCTATAACGTTCTTTTATTGTTTAGAAAGTTGGTAATAAACATCTTCCTTAAAAAATATAACATAATCTTAGTACATTGAAGCTTGACGTTCTGTTCTGACTGAATGCGGTAGCTACCTCCAATTTCTCTTCAAAAATCAGTATTTTGACTTTATACTTTCATAGAAAAAAAAATCAGGTACTAGAAATCGCATGAAAATATCTTCAATTCCCGCGAAAAAAAAAAAAAAAAAAAAAAATACCATACATCCTGAATTTTTTTTATAGTTCTGAATTAAAAATTTATCGCAAAATTATTAATTCAAAACTATAAAATAAATCCTCGTATAAAGTAAATAAATAATGCTTTTTACCATAAGTATTTTACGCTTATTCGTCGATTTAATATTCGTCAGAAACTTTCAAGCTTTCAAGAATTTCTAAACTAATTCCATGTAACACACAAAGTAAAAAAACTACACTTCTTCAAGGAAACGATATTCCATAGCACATTACCATATAAATGTAACTTTAAAAATATCGCTATTAACTTTCAAATAAACAACCTGCAACGAAACATTTCATATCTTAATGATTTCGGAAAAAAGAAACATATTAATTCTTATGTCCAAACGATAGGATCATTTTAAAATGCAAAAATATTCTATCAAAAGTAAATATAATTCTTCTCGGAAAATGGCAAAAATATTGCACTTCGCATTCGTAAAAAGTTCTACTTTTATCAGTTTGCGTAACATAAAAATAATTTAAATGTTTTCTCTTAATCGAATACTGTCATTTTTGCGACAAATTATGTAAAATATACGAGACTTTAGGTATCCATATCCATAAACAGTTTGAAAACTATTTCACATAAACTGCGAGGATATTTCTTTAAAAATATTCCTAAGGGTAACATTCGGCAACAACTATGCAAAATTTCATTTTAAATTACTTACATTGCCAGGAGTATCGAATTTTGTCAATTTCGGGATAAATCACGAACCAGAAAGAGACTTTTATGTATCCATAAACAGTTTCAAAGCTATGCGAAGATATTCGTTTTAAATATTCCACAGAAAGGATAACACTGGGCACCAGTTACTCAAAATTTCATTTTAAATGACTTACATTGCGAGGAGTCACTTGCGAAGAAAGTATCCTTTTTAGAAGCCGATCCTGACCTATTTTATTTCACTGTCTACAGGGATATAAAACCAACAATTTTCCTCCCAGTGTCAAAGGCTTAATTTATTGCTAAGAATCAATCCAAAAGGTTCCCCGAAAAACAGAAACAACGTCTGACGAGCATCACCACCTGCAACCCCATTTTGCGGAGCTACCCCGCTGGAAAATTTTTTCTTTATGCAAATTCCTGCCGTTGTCTTCCACGCGTTCCTAGAGCCCAATGGAGCTGAAACATCCTGCTTGCTTCCTTCAAGTGGGTCAAGGCCAATGCCGTTCACTCACCTTTGTTTAGCACTTACGAGACGTGGAAAATTCTACCGCATTGTTTGATACGCCACTTATTATTTCTTTCGTGTCCGTGGTGGAACGAGAGCGGATTTGAAATTATTTATTTATTTATTCTTTCCGGAAGACGCTCCAGGAATTCCCGCGCGTGTTTTGGAATTCTTTTGGGCACGTGTGTAAAAGGGTTAAATAGTTGATGCATCAGATCCGTGTAACAAATGAAGCGCCCAAAATCGAAAAAAGATTTTTTGTCGGATTTCAGAACTTAGATAAAATTCTTTATTCTTAATGTTCGGCTCTGGAATCTGCAACAATCGTTCCAGTTTTTTTTTTTTTCTCTTCACTTCGCAAAAAAAAAAAAAAAAAAAAAAAAAAATATCAGACGGTTTTGCTATTTTTTTAAGCGTAACACCGTATCGGACAGAATCTAAGATGGTGTTCTTTGGTTTAAAATTTTCCATCTACAAGAAAGGAAATTTTAAATTACATCACAGCATAGTTGCGCACCCGTATTTATATGCGCAGACAGACTAACAACCAAAGTTTAAAATATTCTTTCTTGCAGTGAATAATAACATCATGAAGATGTATTTAAAATTCCTAGCCATTTCGAGTTAAGGTTAAAATTAATTAATGATACCAATATGAGTCTACAATCCCTCTGCAACATGGAAATATCTCTATTTCGTTTTTGCCTCAATATATGAATTATTGAGTGCTTAATTATTAGACTCACTTAAACTCATAAACTCTCTTGTTGAGTTCAAGAACTTGGTGAGTACTTCATGAATTCTTTTCTGAATTTTTGTTCCTAATACTTTATAATTTTAAATAGCTTCGAGTTTTTTTAGTCTAAAGGGGCGATTTGCCCAGAAGGACTATTAATTTCGTTTTGGCATTTTGCGTTGATTCACTCAAGTGTTGTTTCACGTTTAGATTGTTGCCACCAAACATTATCGTCCTGTATTCTATTTAAAGAAATTAAATAATGAAGAATTCGCATAAATGTATGTATGTTTCTCGCATTGTGATAAAACAACGGTACTTAAAGGCCATCCAGTTTTGAATAACGTAATCCTTCTGAGAATATGGGCATCTGGAAGCCCAAATTTGAAATTTGGAATTCGTTTTATTATCGATTTCATATTTTGTAAACCTTTGACCAATTTTTTATCAACAAAACTCAAGGATTTCAAAGCGAGCGATGGCAACGTTGTACAGAAAAAGTATTATCTCCAGCGCGTGAGACTGTGTATCCGAAATTCTAAAGATATGATCAATTTAAAATTATTTTGCGATATTGTTCTTGAACTGAAATAAAAATTATTAATGAAAAAATGAAGTTTTTTAAGTACGAAGAGCGTGATATTTAATAAAGGCAACACACAAAATGTTAAAAAACGCTTCTCTGGACAAAATCTACCTTTCAGATTTTTATTTTTATTTATATTTATTTATTTATTTATTTATTTAAATCTTAATGATTGACCTTTACATACAGTATGTACCGCTTAACGTGATCGCCGTTAATATTATCATTCGGACGTTGTTACTGAATTGCCGAATTTTCGCCTATTTGTGCATGAAAATACGGAATATGCGTCGTTTATAGTGATCAACAAGTCGTTTAATGTTATCGAAATAATTCCAAGTTTCCTAACTCCGATGTATACCAAGCCTTGCTTGCATTTATGCAAGCTACGCTCAGTTATTTACGCAAGCTGTGTGCCGGTTATCATGAAGTGGTTGTCCCTAATGGCGATGCAAAGGCCAAATGCATGACAGAAGCTGGCAGACCAATGATAATGGAAAAGGGGGGGGGGTATTATCGAATAAATTTTTTTAAACTGAAGTAATGTCGCCAAATAAAAGACTAAAATCGCCTGACAAGGTTGAAATAAAGCACACGGATCGCCAAATGACAGTGCTATGTCATCAAATAAGGGATGAATTCGGCATGCTTCTAGATTTTTATTAAAGTTAACATAAGGTCTTGGAACCGGGTCTCAGAAAAGACAATAAAGAGTTTTATACATTTCAATCTTTTAATAGATGACAAAATAAAAAAAGAAGAATTACGGGGGTCGGCTTATATTCGGATCCGCTTATCCTGCAAAAACGTGGGTACTTTTCCGTTAGCCAGGCGTAAGCGATAAATCGCCAAATATAGTACACTTCTTATTTCTTTAGTTTATAATTATTTCTTCAGTTTACAAAAAGAAATTTCAAATGGATTGAATTATTAAATTTTCTGAAAATGATCGTTTATATTGTTCTATTTTCGAAATTGATTACACTGCTGACTGATCGTCGTCAAAACAAAAAATCTAACGCTGGCGAAATTTGTGCCCGGGTAAAGGAAAATGAGCACATGCTACCTTTCTGAATTTTGGCTTCTCCGCTAATTCAAGATGCTTCAGATAGAATTAATAGACTTTAGTCTATCATCACTATATGCGTAAATGCTTTCAGAAAAAAACACACTCTTGGCTTATAACACGGATCAGCTTATAGTCGGAAATATATATGGGTACTTAAGACCACGGCCGATCCTAGCAGAGGGCAAGATGGTGCACAGCACGTGGACGACCAATTTTAAGAGCAACAAAATGATTATCAAACATGAAAATTTTTCTGTAAAAAATTGCAGCCAATTTTATTTAGTTTGCACGTGGGCGGCCGACGGTCTAGCATCGACACTGCCTAACACCATTTCTTCTCTGTGAGACGACTCAAAACTTTTCACCCCTCCCTGCGTATGCTTAGATGGGCGTCATGGAGATCTATAAACATGATTTATTTATTTTGGATCATCAAAAATATACGGAAGTGATCCAAATTTTAAAATGTGGAGTTATGCCCGTCAAGAAAGAAAATGATAATAGATAAATATCCCTGAATCTAATATATGGAATACTCTATATTATGTCAAGCAAACAAAAATACTTATTCGGAAATTAGTTCCAGTATTGTAATTTTTGAAGAATGCTTGCTGCGTAAAATTTCGGTCATGCAACGTTCTATATCCGAAGCAATTATGGTTATGTTTTCAAACCATATTTAAAGTAAAATATAAATATCATAGAACTTAATATATAGAATACTTTTAGTATTTCTATATCATGCCAAGCAAACAAAAATGGCAAATCAGTTGTGTTTTACGAAGAAAGTTTCCTCAGTTAAAATTTCGGTCTTGCAGTATACGATTTCCCAAGCAATTATGGTTATTTTCTCAAATCATACTTAAAGAAAAATATAAGTATCATAAAAATCTAATACATGGAATACTTTTCTGCATGAAAAAATGGCAAATTAGTTCCAGGCCTGTATTTTATTAAGAACGCTTGGTGAATTAAAATTTTGGTCGGGTAACATTCGGTTTCCCAAAACATAATTATTATCTGTCGAAACCATACTTAAAGTGAATGTTATAGCTTTCACTAATGTGCAACAAGCATTTATATTTATATAAAAGAAGGATTTGCATTTACATGAAACAAAGATTTATATTTTTATATATTTGCTCAAAGTCCACTTCATTTCTTAGCACGTGCTGTAAAATGCTTGCTTACAATGCTTAGAACTCTGTTTGGAATGTGCGAACAAAGAAAATGAATCATTTTCAACGAGTTTCTCAGACAAACTGACTGTCTACGATTTTCTGTTAGATAAAATCGTAAAAGCTCAGAGAGTCAGTAAAGATGTTAAGGATCATTTTGTTAACATTTGGGAGAAAATAAAGAGTTCGTCTGAATTAGTACAGAAATTGGATGATTACGAAGCTGTACATGTTAAAAATATGAACTGTAAAAATAAACCCCCTGTAAGGCGGAACTAATCTTTTAAAGTGACTAATCCATCCAAAAACAAAATAGAAAATGGAACAGGTGATGTGCAGAGAACTAGTAAAACCCATCCAAATTTTGGTGAGCAGCACAGACGGGAACACCGACCTCCTTTGACATGCTATGGGTGAGGAAAGATTGGTTTTTATCAAGTCAAATAGCACAAACTGCAACCTCCCAAAGACTTCAAATTTATCTTATTTTTGATAAATTTAGATGCGGGAGAGAAACATCCAACCATGTTTGTCTCCCACATGGACTGCTGCATTCCGAATAAGTATTGAAGGCGTTTCCGGTACTGCCTTCGCCGGCAGTGGTGCTAGTCACTCAACAGCAAGTGAATCACTTTATCATACTCATACTCTGCAGCAACTAGGTGCAGTATTTGAAAAGACGACACTACAGGTGTCTTTCGCTGATTGTTTGGTATCTGAAAAAGAGGTATACTTTGCAATGAACAAACTGCGCTCCTTGTAAATAATTTTCAACTACGAAGAAAATGTAGCTTTGTGAAACCACATCAGTCCAAAGGAATGGAAGAAACCCCAATTGTTGTAAATAATTTCCAACTACGAAGAAAATGTAGCTTTGTGGAACCACATCAGTCCAAAGGAATGGAAGAAAAATTAATGGTTGCAAATAATTTCCAACTAAGAGAAAATGAAGGACAACAGTTAACTACATTCCAATGGCTTGAAACTAATGCTTTACTTAACAAATATCAGACTGTCTTTAAAGTCGGGGGGTAAGCCACTACACTCATTGAACATCATAGTAGGAAACAATCCCCCTGTTTCAGTTCCTCCGTATCGGATGAGCCCAAGTAAGAAAGAACCGATGAAAAAGGAGCTGGATTCTCTACTAAAACAAGATATCATAGAAGAATGTGAAAGTCCCTATAGCTCTCCTGTGGTTTCTATTCCCAAGCCGGATGGAAAAGTGAGCCTATGCATTGATTATCGCAATTTGAATCCTCAGACTGTTCCAGACATTTATCCTTT